AAGGGAAAAAGAGTTCCCAACGAGAATTCATTAATTAGGAACAAGATCATTTGATACATCAACAACAATTATTTCGGGACAAACCGAATCAAAATACATAGAATGCTCATATCCGAGCCTCTAAATTATGAGTAATTGTATTACAAGTTTTAAAAATGACCATCCAACTCAGTTGGTAGAACACAAGACTCTTATCCTTAGGTCGTGGAATCGAGTACCACGGAGTGCATTTCATAGAGTCTGACTTAAAGTCACCTTTCGCCAAAGATTATCATTAGCAAATCGCAATCCAGTTGTTAGCGCATGAATCTCAACCAGGCGATGATAAATCCATACCCCCTAAAATAGTTCCATCCTCATCACAAGAAATAACGCCGACAGCAGCCAAGCATCGGTGAGGGTCAAAAGCGCCATCAACATTAATTTTGACTTCCCCGAGATTAGACGGCGACCAACGATCCGGAGCATTGCTAGGAAGTTGTTGTCCTAAAGTTTGGGATCGACGTCGTCTCCTAATAGCCTGGTTCCTGGCCATAAGGTACTCATGATGCAACATCTTGGCATTAGCAGTTAATAATCAAGGTGGCTGATAACTAGCATCATGAACCTTTGCATTACACCCATTCCATATATTCCACAACAGCACCAGAAAACCTGCAAGACCTTTCAAATCAAGTCTGGAAATCACAATTTCTAACCAGTTTAAATAGGAAGTTAATTGACTGGAAAGAAAAGCGTCGGTCAGGCCAGCATAGCCAAACGTTACTTGTGCGTAGTCGCAGTCCCATAAAGCATGCACAACTGTTTCCTCCTCGGTAGAACACAGAGCATAGTCCATCCACTATTCTAGTCGCGTGAAGTCGATGACCAACAGGTAAGCCTCCATGCGTCATTCTCCAAGCGAAGATCCTGACTTTAGGGAGAACCTGGAGCTTCGCGATAACCTTGCACACCTTAGATGCAATTGTAGCCGAATGGGAGGACCTTTATAGCCACCAATATCCAGATTGAACTGAATAAATACTCAAGACATTGCAACCCCAAGTCAAGGTATCCTCCTCAATTGGAGCAATGGAGGTAGAGAGAATGCGATCTGAGTTCTCCGAGGTGAACACTTCCCGAATTCTAGCCTCATATGAACTCGCATTGTGTTGTTACATGAAGTTTTCCCCACTGAAGTGATGGATAGAGGAATTAGAATACTCTACTATAAGCGTGACGAGCTGAGTTCCTCCTCATTTATCACAAACCATGTTAAGCTTGCTACCCCGACCTATCCTCCAATACAATGCTCCAGAAAATGCTGTCATTGCCTTATGAATATCTTTTCACGCGCATAAGCTTCTGTTGCCAGAAAACGCATGAAGCAGATCACCATTAGGAAAGTATTTTAGCCTAAGCACTCTAGAGAGTTAACAGTTAGGATGCTTAACCAGTTCCCATACTTGCCAAACATAGCAATGTAGAACGAATGCAAGTCCCGTAATTCTAAACCACCTTGGCATTTCGATTGACAGATTGTAGACCAAGCCACCATCGGCCAATCCCGTTCAGTGATCTTTCCCGTCTAGAAATACCGACACATAATCGCCGACATTTCATCAAGCAAATGCTGTGGAAGGAGATAACAAGACATAGCATATTTTGCAAAGCTTGGGCAACCGATTTCAGGAAGTTCTCGACCCCCTAGGAAATGAGTCATTTTGTCCATTCAGTGGCTCGAGCTGTAACTTTGCTGCGTAAATAGTCAAACGTGTGCGTTTTATGCTTGCCGATATATAACGGGAGGCCAAGATAGTGTCCCAAAGAATCAATTGTTTGAATCCCAAAGATATCTGTCATTTGTTGACGATGAGCAACAATGGTGTATGGACTGAAATATATCATCGGTTTATCCAAATGAGACAGCATAAACTATAAGAATCTCTTTAATATTGGCTTTTTCAGTCAGATTTTTTAAAAAAAGACCAAACTATCATCCTCAAACAGTAAATCAGAGACTTGAGGACCCACCTAAGACGCTCGAATTCCTTTAATTATACCGTTTTGTTGCGCCTTGTGGAACAAAGCCCTTAACTGACAGAAAGGAATAAGAAGGGAGAAAATTTTCCTTGCCTAACAGTACCAACACGATTTATATTTATCTTTATATTAGGATAAATTATACTAATGGTCACTTAAATTCAAAATGTGTATACAAGTCATCGAAATTTAAAAACATATACATTTGAATCATTATTCTTAAAGAAATAAATTATTTTAGTTGTTGAACCGTTAAATTATTAATGACAACTAATGTGATATGTTTATATGACATGTACGAATTCTAAAAAAGTAAAACAAAATTCGAATCTGATAAAATATTTCTAAACTCGAGTAAAATTGAATGATATATATAAAAATATAGAATAAAGTATACAAATAATGTGATTATAAGGCACTACTTTATTGAGTTTTCTAATTATTAAAAGTTACAAAATAGTCCTCTCGTTATAGGGCGATGATTTGTTAAGTCTTTTGACTATTAAAAGTTACAAAATGATCTACTGACTATTCATATGTGATAAACTGATTCTTTCGTTAAAAATTGACGGTCGTCTGAGTTGGACACTAATCTATTGATTGGGATATGATAAAATTATGTTTTAATAATATTTACTGGCATCATTATTATTTTTAAGTACTAGTTCGATGGCATAATGTTTCAAGAACTGTCTCGGCAATATAATGTAAACGGAGAGTCGATCCATAAAATACAACTCAAATAGTTTTATGATAAAAAATTATCATAACCTAGATAATATGTTAATGTTCAACTCAGTCTGTAACATCCTCCATACCAGGTTAGTGATTAAATTGTGAGATTTAAAAATTCAGTGACCAGATTGGATAAATTGAAAAGTTCAAAGAATTGATTGAAATGTTTTGTGTAGGATCAATTAACAAAGAATGAGGAACTAAAGGGGTAAATGAGTCTTTTAATAAGGAAAATAATTAAATATTAGTTGAGGATATTTTATACCCACGTGGAAGGCAATTGAGGGATAACTAAAGTTCCAGACTTCTCTTCTTCTTCATTCTTCTTCTCCACCGTAAAACCAATCTAAAGGTGAGTTTTCTTGTTAATCAAATTCTTGATGAATTTAAGGTTGCTTATTGATCATTAGATGATAACTAAACTTAAGGAAAACTTATATTATCTTAAAACCATAAGATGAGGAGTACATGAAGAAATAAAGAAAGGAAGTAGAAAAGTGAAATATTGGAATAGAGTTCATAATAAGAATTGGAAGTGAGATTTGACTTGTCATCAAGCTAATTAAGGAATAGGAAGTGTTAGAATTAGATTAAGAACCTGTTGGAATTTGAGTGAGATTCTTAAATTCTATATGGAGAATTAGATTTCTAAGTTTTAGAGGTATGGAATGGATAATAATTAGTTTAAGTAAGAGTATGCAAGTTAGGGATATAAAAAAAGGGAAATATAAAGTGTTGAGAAGATTATGAAGAGATTTTTGTGCTAAAATAACATTTATGGGCTATATGCATCGATGCACATTCAATGTGTACCGATGCATCAAGGATAAATCCCAGAAATTGTTCAAGGTGTATCGATGCACATGAAGTGCATCGATGCACTCCTTTAAAATAAAAACATCGAATGCCATCAGTGTATCAATGCACAAGTAGTGCATCGATTCACCCCCTTAAATACAAACATCGAATGGGATTTATGTATCAATGCATATATAGTGCATCGATGCACCCGTCAAGGGATGCATCTATACATTGTGTAGTGCATCGATGCATACCTTCATTAAAAGATGAAAATGGCTTTTCTTTTAGCCCAAGAAATGATAGTTTAGAATATATTAATTAGTATACTGATAAGTATCAATGAATTACTATGTAGATATAGAGCCTAAACAAGTTCCAGAACAATTGCCTAGTAAGATCGATCGAGGAAAAAACAAGGAAATATAGGTGAGTGCATATGCATAGCATAAATATAGTGGTATATTAAGTTCTAGACTTGTGAGAAGTATAGATTCAATACATTGATGCATGATTCATTTCATATTGTGAAGCACGATGTGAATTCATACTATGTGCATTGTGTAACATGTTTTAAATGAACATGCATGCAAAGTTATATGAGCCATGTGATGAAGGTAAGGAAATGATATGTCTATGTGATATACTATGTAATCAAAGGGTCAAGTTTTGTATGCTCTGAGTATTTTGATAAACTTATATTAACATATGTATATTATTGTATTTTAATAATACAAGTTCAAATGTTTTATCGTTTTTTTAAAGAATATTGTTTTGTATAGTCTATGTGACATCCTGGACTCGTATCCGGGTCGGGTATGGGTTGAGGGTGTTACACAGTCAACCATTAATTTTTAATTAAAAATGATGGATTTCAAACATATGAATGGTTGAATATCATTTTGTAATTTTTAATATTTACGAAACTAAACAAAGCAACGCCCTATAATTGAAATATCATTTGGTAACTTCAAATTGTCAGGAATTTAACAAAGCAACATACTATAATCGAATGACAATTTATGTACTTTACAGAAAAATATATCATTCATGTCAATAAAAATTCCGACCTGACATGTCCCCTTCCTATTTAGGATGAACATTTTGTCTAGATCTTACAACGATGTAATCAGACGTAATATTATAATTATATTTATATATATATATATATATAAAAGATAGTTGAAATAATACTCATTTTTATTTTATTTTTTAATTAAATTATTATTTTATATAATAAAAATAAATTATATATAAATCGAGTCAAATACAAATTTTAACTTAAAAAATCTAACCGTATTTTAGATCAAATGAAACTCTTATAATCTACAATCAAATGAAAGACTTGAAACTTTTAAATCAAATTCAGGTGGCCATACAATCAAAAAAAAGGTTCAACCCGACCCGTTACTATCTCCGTACCATCCCTATAAACATACGGTATACGTTTCATTTAATCAGCGGCTTTCATATTCTCCCCAAGCGAGTCGAAATAGAAACCATTCGAAGCGCCGACCAGCAATCTTGCGAGTAACTCCCGCCATGGAAATCGCCGACGCCTCGGAGAACGGTTCGGGAATGACCCAGACAACAATGGCTACGGTATCCGACCCATCAGAAACGACGGCCAACAATCCAGCAGTAGAGAAGTGGCCCGGCTGGCCCGGTCACTGCGTGTTTCGGCTCATCGTTCCGGTTACGAAAGTCGGCAGCATAATTGGCCGGAAAGGTGAGCTAATCAAGAAGATGTGCGAGGAAACCCGCGCCCGTATCCGCGTCCTTGATGGCGCTGTTGGGACGCCCGATCGCATTGTAACTCCCTTATCTTCTCTCTTTTTTTAACCTTTGGAACCTAAACTGGAAATATTTCTTTTTTGTTAATGAATTTTGTGGTTGTCGATTATTTGGGTCTGGGCTTTGCTCTCGTTAGTTGATATATGCTTTAGAAAGGAAGAAAGAGTAAAGGGTAAAATAAGACAACTTCCAACCCTAATTAATCCATATCGATGTAAATCTTGCATCTTGTGCTTCAAGAGATTTCTTTTCAAGCAAAAAATGCTTTGAAAGTAAAAAGTGAGCTCCTATTGTGAGATTTCTATAAATTTAGATTCTCTTTTCTGACTTTTACTGTCTAGAGAAGTACAACTGTTGTATATTAGGCAAGGTTTTGGCTTTTGAGCTAATGGAAAATACTTTGTCTCCTGTGATTTTGATGGATAGAAATGGGACATCTGCAAATTTTTGTCAATAGATATGTTTGTGTAACACAAATTGGATTATTTCCTACTGATCATTCTTTAGTTTTTGGATGTCAGCTCCTATATTTGATTTATAACAAGATATTGGGGTTAAATTACTGTTTTCTGGTTACCCTTTATTGGTTCGATGAATTATTTGGCTTTTATTGTAGGTGCTAATATCTGGAAAGGAAGAACCAGAGGAACCTATTTCCCCTGCAATGGATGCTGCTATAAGAGTTTTCAAACGTGTCTCTGGATTTCCGGACAACGATACCGATGCTAAAGCAGTTGGAGCTACATTTTGTTCGGTCCGGTTGCTGGTAGCATCTACTCAAGCAATCAGTTTAATTGGAAAGCAGGGTTCCTTAATCAAGTCATTACAAGAGCGCACTGGTGCATCTGTGAGGGTATTGTCAGGAGGTATGTTTTGTATATTTCAAAAAATTAGTTGACCCTTTTTCCCATATGTAATGGGGTAAGGGGAGGTATGATAGTAGGCTGCCCCCAACACCAGGTTGAGAGCAGCTTCCGTGGGAGATCTTCGAAATATGAAATGCATTACGAATTTGAATTGATTAATGAAACGTCTTTATCTTGGAACTTTAATGCTCTCGTCTTATTTTATGCAACTATTCTTGTGGGATTATACATTCCTTCTACCTCTCCATAGGGTTGTTCAACACTATTCATATAGGATTATTTCAGCTGCTTGTTCTATCCTTGATTAAAAGGGTTGATTTTTTTTAATAAATATAGCATTAAATTAGAGGTTATCCTATCCATTCTTATGATACACTTGAATTTCTTCATGGATCTGTTCATTACAAGGATAAAAGATGGAAATTGTATGCTTGTTCTATCCTTAACTCAATTGAATGTGTCCGCAAAATGTTGGTGTTATTGCCAGCTTCTTCATTTGATCCTTTGAAAATCATCTGAATTTTACTACTGTTGTAACTCAAACCATTGTGATTGTGTAGTTCTGGACACATAGAAGTATTTTTTTCCCACTTGGAAGTGATACTTTCTAGTAGTAAAAGTAAAATAATTTTGTTGCTTCCGTTGATTATTTTAGACAATCATAATTATACAAATTGTACAATAAATCCAAGCTTTTGTATCATCTTCTCTGTTCTAGAAGTGCTCTATAAATCATAGGTTTTGGGATTATGTCTTTACGGTGAACTGTCACTGTTTCTGCAGAGGAAAATCCATCTTATGTGGTAGCAGATGAGAGGATTGCAGAGTTGCAGGGGGAAGCCCTGAAGGTTCTCAAAGCTCTTGAAGCTGTTGTGGGCCACCTGAGGAAATTTTTAGTTGATCAAACTGTTCTTCCTCTCTTTGAAAAGACAGTAAGTTTGATTTCTAATTTTCTATCAAACTGTTTTTATGTACCCTGCAACTGTTTCATGTTAAGTAGTGCCATCAATGTTTGCAGCATAATTCAGTAGGCACCCAAGATCCTCAAGCAGAGACGAGGTCTGAAAAGTTATCTCTGCTTACTGCTTCTCAAAGTGGAATCGGAATTGATCTTCCTATTAGGAGAGAGTCTTTGTTCCTTGAACATGAAAAACAGTTCGAGTCACGAATCCCATCTTCTGGAATTTCATTCTTTGGGCAGGATCCTGCACTTTCGATGGTGCATTCTAGTTCAGGGCTTCATCGATCTGCTGTTCCTATAGTTACTCAGGTTTGCTTTTGTGTGTGCCTGAATTATTATTACTCGTTTTTTATTTCTTTACCCAAATGGGCAAGAGCGATTAGAGGCTATGATGCCAAACAAGGAAGAGATAGGGGTATATGGAGATGAGATTGAAAATTAGAGGACAGAACAGAAACAGATATAGGAGTAAGAGGGAGAGAAATAAAGAGGACCAATGAGAGGAAAATCTAGTACTCAATATTCCAAATTCGGTGAAGTATTTATATATATATATATAAAGACGACCTTTATGTAAGATGTCAAATAAATATAACCCCATGGTGATTTTCCATGATATTAGTTCTATGTTAATTATTAGTTAATTTGTAAAGGTGAGAAGAAAATCATTTTGAGCCAGATTTTGGGTCATTGATGTCCTACTTGTTTTACATCACTGCTACTTGGATCAAAGAGCTTGAATGTAGCGATTTTTCTCTTTATTACAATGCTCATCTTGCCTGCATTTAATTCAGCTTGGAGATTTTGCAATGATACTTTTTAGTTTAAATTAGGCTTTTGAAGAGAAACTTTGTTATATATGCCTAGATGTGACATATGCAATACCTTCTTCATACAATATGTATGTATATATATATATAATCGATTTTTGTATTATCATTTCTCTTATTGCATTTCTGGAACCAGATTGCTCAAACCATGCAAATTCCTTTTTCTTATGCTGAGGACATCATTGGGATTGGAGGAGTTAATATTGCACACATTCGGCGCACTAGTGGAGCCGTCATAACTGTGCAAGAAAGTGGTGGCCTATCTGATGAAATAATCGTCGAAATTAAAGGCACCTCAATACAGGTTCAGTTGGCTCAACAACTGATTCAAGTAAGAAATGACTTATAATTTAATTATAGCTTGCTGGTGTTTGAAGTTTCACTCGTTTCACTATTATTTTCGCTTATATTAATTACGGAGCTATGCCTGATTTGTATTCTCCTTCATGGGTTTGATCTCTTTGGATTTCTATATTGCTTCAACGCTTTATTAGCATATCCAGACATGGGTTTGGATATATGATCTAAGAACTTTTCAGATGCATTACATACTCGTGTATGGCACTCAAGTTCAAGTTACGTAAACGAATGCTATTTACATGTTGAAATTGTTGATTCTCTGTTTAATGCAGGAATTCATGAGCAATCACAAAGATCTGATCACAAGTAGCAGCGGCTACAGAGACACGGGGTATAGGTCATCCTCGTTTTTGCAGTTGGGCAACACATCTTCACTTTCGTCTCAACAACCCAATGGCGGATACGGAGGACCGTCTAGTGTAAGTGGCTACTCAACTTTTAGGCTTTAAGAGAATTATCGTTTAACCTTATTAGACTTTGCAGTCTCTTTGTTGGAATGAATATGTCTGGGTGTTTCTCTGTTGGGTAATAATGCTTTCTTCAAAACATTTGATGTAATGTTTTACATCTAAGCTCGACAACTTAAAACATTAAATATTGAATCTTTTTGCCTAATTCTAACTTGAATTATCTAATAATAATAAGGGTAGTGTAGACTAGAAGTCCTTAAACTATGCTCAGATGATCATTTTTGTCATTGAACTAAAATTATAAAACGATTATAAAATTTATTATAATGTCCTAGTTATTATTTTGTAATAATTTGATAAATTTAATGATTATTTTATAATTTTTAAAAGTTCAATGATCAAACTAATCATGTGAGTTAGTTCAGTGGACTCTGGTGTACTTTACTCTAATAATAATAATGCCATAATTTAAGCAAATTTTAAATTAATTATATATAACAATAATGCAAAATACATAATTCTTATTGTTAAAAAATGGTACATAATTTTTTATATTATTTTAATGACAATTACATAATATGTTTCTCACATTTTTTTTAGCTCTTATCATCTATTAACTTAGGTTTGTTCACTTAGAAGCCATAAATAAATACAGTATTAAGGTTTTGAAATAATACTAATACAATTTTTTTAAATAGTTTACCAAATAATCCATAGATTATTCATAATAATAAAAAAGTTAATTTTATAAATTTTGGGTTTGGTCCCGTCTTAACCAATCACAGTTGGTCATAGCGTGGATTATATTTAATTATCAAATTTAACTACACAAAATATATGAAGATTAATATAAAAAAGTTTTTAAACTATTACCATTTTTTAGATATAAATTAAAATTAAATTTTATATTCGGGTTGTGTAGTTTATGGTTAATCTAATAAAAAATAATCGTTTAAAAGATTATCCTTCTGAAATTTAACGATCTAAATGATAAATAAAGTGATAATTAATTGGTAAGACACGATATTATGAAATTATTTTTCCAAGTTTAAATTAAATTTATATTGCAAATTATGCAAAGTATTAAAGTAAAATGTGGATAAAATAATAAAGGTAAAGTATACGAATGATATTTCAACTATAAGATATTGTTTTGTTAAGTCTTTCGATTATTAAAATTTATAAAATGATCATCTGACTATAGAGTGTTTTTTTATTAAGTCATTTGATTATTAAAAGTTATAAAATAGTCATCCAACTATTTATTATGCCCTAAGCTTGTCATTTTTCGTTAAAAAATAGGTAGTATTTTGAGTGATCATCTTGTAACTTTTAATAGTCAATGGACTTAACAAATCAACATTCTATTGTTAGGGGAGTATTTTGTAACTTTTAATAGTCAAAAGACTTAATAAAATAATATCTTATAGTCAATGGACCATTCATGTACTTTACCAATAATAAAAATACATCTTCAAAAGCAAATCTAATTCATTTCTTTGCGTATTATACGCAAAAATTAAGATGAGAAACAACATATTTTACTTTCAGCATTTTATTAGATAATAATTGTAAAATAACAATAATTATTTTAAACTATTTTTGTAACTTCTAATTTGTTTTTTTTTGTCTGAAGAATTTGATAAATGATTGTTTTAAAAATATAATTATGTAATATGATACAAATAGATAATTATGTTAAATTTCGAATAAATATATAATACGTTGAACATTATTATGCTATCGAAAGTGGCAGTACACATGAAATAAAATTGGGAGTTATCAAATAAAGTTAAATTGAGGGTTGGTTTTACGAGTGTTTTTGAAAAGTGGGGCAAAAAATTGTTGGAAAATATATATTTTTAAAATAGTTTAATATTGAAGTGTTTAGTATTATTGTAGAATGTGGTTTTGAAAAGATAAATGGTCAATATAGATATATATTTTTTGTATAAAAAAATCAGGTCAAGGGTGTCAATTCTAGTCAAAGGTCAAAAGTCAGGGCATACATAAGACTCAATTAAGATTTACATATGAATTTACAGATTGGCCACCAAGAGTGACGGTGATAGGATTTGAACTTAACCTTACAAGTTTAAATTCCTAAATCTCAATCACTTGTGTCAATATTTGTTGGCAACAATCAATATAGATATGATGTAGATTAAAAATATCAAATCATATTCAAAATTTGTAGTATGATAATATATAAAATATTAATTTAATCTATAATAAAAACATATAAATAAATTTTATTAAACATAATTTTATAATGATTGTACGTGTTTCACAAAATTATATAAAAATTTAAATAACTTATATAAAAAAAAGTGGCATGATGAGATATGAAAATTTCAAACTCAAAAATAATTTATTGATCATGTAATTTTGACTTAATAAAAAATATAAATTTTTAAATTGTAAAATAAGTATATCATACTATTATAAATAAATGCTAAGTTTACAGTGGTAGTTTTAAAAATATTTTTGAAATGTAAAAGTTGAAATTATTATTTTTTTTTAAATCTTAAAATATAGATTATTAAACCTAAATCCTAAATTTTAATAAGTCTTGAACCTCGAATAGAACACATGCCAGGAAGATAAATGTACTTGTGTAAACTAAAGTTACTTGTTTAGTATTACTCATGATTCAAACACAATGTTAAACGAGGTTTAAATTTAACAATTTAAAATTTAAAATATAAAATTAATATAAATATAATATGAGAAAATATTTATAAAAAAAAACCCGAGACAAAGTAATATGAACACGGTACGAATAAGTGTTAAATAAATGGTAGAAACCAAAACTTGCCACATAAATATTAGGATAAAGTGTACAAATGGTCCCTGACCATGAGATATTATTTTATTAAGTACTTCAACTATTAAAAATTATAAAATGATCATTTGACTATAAAGTGTTGTTTTGTTGAGTTCGGTTATTAAAAGTTAGAAAATGGTTATTAAATTATTTATTATATTTCAAACTCATTATTTTCCGTTAAAAAATTGACTGTCGTCTTAGTTGAACGTTGACATGATGATTAGGATATGATAATCGTTTGAGAATTTGGGATCAAATTTTATCTTATCAGAGCTAACAGTTTAGTATTCATCTCAGTCTGCAGTTTAATCTTGCAGATTTTCTTGTATGATCTGTGTGTTGTATTTAAGTTATAGAAGCTGTTTTAAAAGCAGATAAGCGTCTCTGATGATGCCTATTACCGATGATAGGTTCAACTTTTAGATGATCTAATGGAGATTACTTTGCCACTACGATACGATAGCCCACCACTGGCGGCTGACCTCCACCTTCAATTTCAGCATTAGTGATGCTGCCAGCGACGGTTTTCCGGACTTGGTTTAAGCCGACGATGGTTTTTCCCATTATAACGGAAGAATGGGGATGGCAGATTTAGGGTTTAGCCGACGACGACGACGTGGAAAAGACGATCAAGCTGGAAATCGCAAAGCTGAACGCTAAATGAGCAATTGAAAGGAACATTACATTACTCTTGGTGAATAATTTGATATGTTCCACAGCAGATCATGAACTGGAATTTCCAAATTTCTTACATATGCTTCTATTCGGTCCATGAATCGGATATGAACTATTTTTTTAATATTTAATTTATTGGTTGATGATTCAATTAATTATAAATAAAAATTTATGAATAAAGTATACGAATACTCCATTGATTGTATTTCTAATAAAAAAAATAAAAACATAAATAATCGATATATTATTTTATAACCTTTAATAGTTAAAAGATTCGATATTATAATTTGATAATCATTTCGTTCAACAAAATATTGCCTTATGGTCGGTTAAACCCAAAAGAATTTATTTATGAGGCTTTGATATATTCACAATGGCAAAATTTAAATTTTTGTTCTTTGTTTAAAATATCTGACATCTCATTCCTAGACTAACCAAAAAAGATATTTAATAATCATTCCTAAAGTGGGATAGAGTTAGATTTGGAAGAGGCTTGTGAAGCTTAGAGTCAGTATTTCGAACAATATTCTTTCTGATTCTGACAGTATTTTGGGTGCTGTTAGGAATAAGGGGGAGAAGATTCCTTAGCATAAGGTGGTGTGGTTTGGTCTTCATATTCCTCGGCATGCAATGATATCTTGGATGGCCATTTTGAATATACTGCCTACTAGAGATAGGCTTGTTTTTTTTGGTATTCGGGTTGAGGAAGTGTGTGTCATGTGTGGAGCTGATCAGGAGACTAGGAATCATGTGTTCCTTGATTGCCTTTTCTCAAAGCAGGTTTGGACTTTGATCTTGAGAGCTTGTGGCCTTGAAAGGCATGTGGTGGACTAGGAGTTTGAACCGAGTTGGGTGATTCATCGATTTAAAGGTAAATCTCTTCTCTCTATCTTGTTGAAATTAGCTTGGAATGTAATGAATTATTTTGTCCGGAGAGAGAAGCGTAGAATATTCCAGGGGAAACAAGGTTCTGTGTTGGGGATGTTGCCCAAGTGCGGGATGCTGTTCGTTGAAGGTTGTCTGGGAAAAACATTAATAGACAGTCTGATCAATAAGACTCTTTGTAATGAAGGACTCTTTGTAACTAGTGGAAGCAGGAGTAGCTTCGGTTATTGTGGAATTCTGGGCCGTTGGAGTGTGCTTTTGATTGGTTTTGGTTGTTGTTTATTGGTAGCTTGAGCTACTTTCTGGATAAATAAAATTAAGGATTTATCCAAAAAATAATCATTTAAAAGATATTGTCAAAATATCAAACAATAATCATTTTATTTTATCGATAGAAATCAGTAACAAATCACCATAAGAAAAATCGAATGTATTGTTTTATCACTGCAAATCGTTTGATTAAAGACAGTATCTTCCTGCCCCCAAAAAGTGTTCAAAAATTGCAACCGAATGCATTGCGCCATAAGCCCCCAACCCTTTGACCTGCAAAAGGCAAACAATCCAATGACCAAATTAAATAAAAATACAAAGTTGGGTGACTAAATTGCAAAATGGTTTAAATTTGATCATAGATAGACTTAAAAATCGAAAAGTGAATCGAATAAACAAGAAAATTAGAAACCAAACTTCACATGTTTTCGATTTTTTTCTTATTCAAACTTCACGAATTAAAACTCGAAACTTAAGCCAATCGTTCGAGTTGACTTGAACAATTATAATAATTCAAAATTTAAAAAAATCCGAATTGGACCGAATTGTACTCTGCCCCTAATTTTTTCCAACGTGATTCGATTCTTCAGCTTTTTCCTACGAGTAAATAACGAGTGACTAGTTGTTTGGAAATTGTTTTAAAATTAGTGGATCTGATTCACTGAGACCATTGATGACATCCATTAAATAATTTCTCCTATAATTTTCTATGACCTGAATTCCCAAATATAAACAAGTGCACAAACGAAACAATCAAAACCACGAATCCATCATCACTTAATCTTCATTGGAGTCAAACGTCAAAACAGATCCATGTATGATACAACAGCATCAAAATCATTGATCCAAAAGCATTACCAAACATAAAATTCAGCAAAGAGTCAATCAAATCGGCATCTAATTGCATGAGCAACAAATTTAAACCGATATTAAACAGCCCATAGATCCATAGCTCAGATTCCCAACATTTCAACAACTAGTCGAGAAATCTAGACATCAATCATCCATTTAAAATAATACCCAGATCAATAAACCTAAAAATCCAAAAAAAAGGGGGGGAGTATTAGAAATACCTGGATGGGATGGGGATCAATGATTCCATGTTCCTTGTGCTCGAGATGGCGGCGCTCGTTGGGGAGGGCTACGAGGTAAGCGAAGACCATCCCGCCGAAGCAGGCATGGAAAAGAGCTGGACTGAATCGGTTTGAATGAAATTAGAATTGTAATTGTCCAAACCCTTTTGAAAAGCTTTCTTCACGTAATCCATGGATAGCATCGGCTTCACGTAGTTAGGGACTTCCTTCATCCTCATCCCTTTTGTCTCGCTGTAAACTTTCCTTGTTGCCATTTCTTCCAACTCAAACCCTAGCCTTCTTGCTTCTCTGAGAATGCAAAATTTGGAGGATGGATTGATGATGATGGCAATTTCGAGATTGTTTATTGTTATTGTAGGAGGACGGACTATTTTCTCTTGGATTTAAGCCTTCTTAATTGGGCCGGCCTGCCTCACTTCTAAATAAATTTTATTTTTTAAAATAGCCTGGAATGGGGCAGGTGGATTTTTTGAGGGAGACAATTGAGGGCGGGACGGTTTCTCGAAAAATGTTTTCTTCATTTTTTTTTTGTGTTTGATGGTTGTAAAATATTTTTTAGAAAATATTTTTTGGTATTTGATAACTGTAATTAGTTTTACATAAAATATTTTTTAATGTTTAATAGTTGTAATTGATTTTCCGAATGTAATTCATTTTCTTTGTTCCTTTGTATTTTTTGTAAATTATTTTACTGTCTAATTTTTCGTAAAATATTTTTCTAACATTTCACTTTAGAGTATAAGCACTCAAAAAATATTATTTCATACATTTAATATTAAATGAATATTTTAATATCATTTTAATAAAAATATTAATTATTAAAATATTTAATATACATATAATATAATTTAATAATATTATATTTTTAATATCATATTAATATATATACTTAGATATATTATAATAATATATGATCTTATATTTTAAATTTAGTAATTTATAATAAATTATTAGTATTTATCTATTATTTTTATAAATATAATATTATTAAATTATTAAAAATGAGTAATATTAATTTATATATTTAATATTAATATAATAATTTAGTATTATATTCATAAAATACTAATAATTAAAAATAAGGGTGTTCAAATGGTTAATTCAACCACTATCAAAATGAATTACCATTAACCGGATAAACAAAAAAAATCGTTAATCGTTAATTGAATCAATTTTTTTTAAAAATATTAACAGAACCAAACTTTATTCATTTTATGTAAATCATTTTCTATAAAATTAATTATAGTGTATCAAACAATTAGTGAACATGATTTATACAATATTATCAAAACACCGTAAAATAGTTTCCGAAAACTATTTCCCATAAAATGTAATTCATTTTACATAAAACAATTTTCTTGTAATTCATTTCACGTAAAACATTTCTCAGGTAATCCATTTTACGTAAATTATTTTCCAGAAAATCAATTACAATCTATCAAACTAACCCTTAGAGTAAAAAATTTTAATTTAATTTAATTCAATTTGATTTGAATATATATATATATTTATTGTTGTAATGTCTATTTAGGGATGAACATTCGATCAAGTCGAGTCGACTAAAATATTTTTAGCTATTCGAGTTGAAGAGTCATATTTTATGACTTGAATTCAACTTGGAATTTTTTTGAGTCGAGTCAAGTCGAGTTTAAGAAATTTAGTTTATTCGAGTTTTTATAAAAATTGTTGTATAATTATTTATAGTATTATAGTAAGGATTGATTCCATTTTTTTTACTTTCTCTAACCATATATATATATATATATATATATATATATATATATATATATATATATATATCTTACGCTATGTAAAATTCTTTTAGTTTTACACATTTTTATGATCATTGAATTGAGTGAAATCAAAGGTTGATATTAACTTATTCTTTTTTCAGTTCTCATTTTCTATTGTTAATCCAAGCCTTTAATTTATCTCATCCAATGGTCCTAAAAAAGTAAAAAATTAAAAGAGTTTTACACAATGTAATTCCATCCTATATCACACACACACATATATATTCATATCATTTTCACATTATAATGTTATTTACTATATCAAATACAATATAAAATTATAAAATATATTAAAAATATTATATTCTAAATAAGGTATTTTGAGGGTAAAGAATTGATTAAAGTATAAATGAGTCAAATAATAGATGAGATCGTTAATTTGCAAATAATTACAGTTAAAATATCAATTGAGAAAAAAAAGAGTACTTTTTAGTAAAAAAATAGGAATTAAATTTACGAGGTATGCTATAATGGTATAAAAGCACGTGGTGCAAATTTGGTAAAAAATATATACTTAAAATGAATGATTAATTGAAAAAAAATAATGAAATCATGAAAAGTTGAGGGATTATATTGAAAAATAAAAAATTTGTTATCAAAAATAGGAATTAAAATATACATATGTATTCTATGATGATTTAGGAGCATGTGGTTCAAAAATTAAGTTAAAATAAATGATGAATTGAAGGAATAAAGAAATCATGGACTAAATTGTAAAACTGATAAAATACTCAGCTAAATTTTTTTAGTCTCTCATAATTTTCAAATTTTAATTTAAACTAATAACTCTCGAATATTTCAAAATTGAAAAAATTGATTTTACTCAATTTTGATTTAACATTATAGAAATTGTATCGAGCCGAATTTTGATCTGAAATTTGAGATAAAAATTATTCCATCCGATTCAACACAAATATATGAAATCTCTTTATCATTAAGTAATATAAGAATCTAATTCAAAAATATATATAGAAAGATATATTATAACAATTATTTTTAAATATATAAAAAATATATATTATTATCTTGAGTAGGTTTGAATCGAATATTTTTCACCTTATCATTAAATATAATTCGACCTCATCAGTTATAATATCTTAA